GACACGATTAGACTAAATTAGATTAATTTAGAAAGTAAAGTATATTTTCAGAATCAGTTCATCCTATAATTAAATTGTTTACCGATTTTAATTGTCGCAAAACCAGTTTAGTTAGATTTAAAAACTAAACTACTAAATCGATTATAATAAAATTCATATGAAATCAATCTGTAAGTATATCCTATCAGATGAAAGAAGAATTTATTAAATTGATTGACAACTGATGGAGTTATGAGATAACAAACATAAAAAAAATCTTCTAATAACTTTATTTTGTACTACCTTTATCCGCGTTTTCGTGTAACCAATGTATGTTTACTTACAGAAGATAAAAAGGAGCCTATATCCTTCTCCATCCCATATAATGCGTGTATACCAAATTTCATAGTCGTTGGTTTAGTTTTTAAAGCGCTGTAAGCTAATAAACTGTGGTATACAAAACTCTTTACAATATACTCGTTTGTTTTTTCTTTACTTAAGATTGTAACATTACCTTTCTAACTATTAATGTCTATCATAATACCAATATATCTTTATTTTTAGTTGAATTAAACCAATATTTCTCTATGATCTATATAATTAATTATAATAAATATTATATCAATAACGAACAAACTCACTTATACATTTATAATATTAGTAAGGATACGTATTATAACGCGTTCGTTCTACACGTTCTCATACTAAGTAGATTTGTAATTGTTAATAACTAAATATCTAAACCGGGGGAACGGGATTACTAATAATGGGGTCTAATGAACCCATTGCTAGCAATACACCCTATCAGGTCGACCTCCATACAGTTCCCCCTGGCAACCTTTGTGGTTAACTCTAGTGGAATTCGTCACGATGGGCTAACTAACCTGCTTTTATCATCACCTATCGTCCCTAACTGGTGCCTCGCCAGTGTACACCGGTTACCACTCCATTATTACCCATGAAAAAAATATCTAAGCCAGAAACCAGATAGATGCCGCAGTGAGCACAATATAAATATATATAGGAAATATAAAATTATAAGTTCACACGCATTAATCCAATCAAGCGTCCCACACCCACAATCGTTCGTGATGAAATCACAAATGGTACGACCGACACGCGAATCGTTATATCTATACATAATTTATAACAGGTGTTCTTTTATCAGTAGCCTTTTTAGTAGTTTGTAGTTTTTTTAAAATATTATGTAAAATTATAAGCAATTACAAACATTGGAGTGAAGGTTAAAACAATTAACCATCGTAAATCATATTGAATTTATAAATCGAACAGTTTATTAAACTCGTTATGTTTTTCATTTAAATTCAGGTAGGGGTTGAAGGTTAAGGCAATAAACTGATAACAATCATGAGTCATACCAAATTATAATTTTTTATAATCGGGTTTACTCTTGTATCTTTCGGGGTTACTCTTCTAGTTTCGGACTCGCTTAAGCCTTGAACAGTACTGAGTTATCGAGCAGCGCTACTCTCTAGATTGAAACTACAAACAGAAGGGTAATCTCGAAATTAGAAGAATACTTGAGTAAAGCCAATATAAACAAGTATATAGGTTCTCAATAGCTTGTCTTTTCTTGCAAATTACCTAATATCTTTGACGAATGATAAATTGAGTTTAGTACTTATTTTTACAATCGAGAGGATTTCTTCTCTTGCTGCTTCTCTATATTAATTTTGTCGCGCTTGTAAATCTTTTATTTATAAAACAAAATTTATATTTTCACTGAAAATTAACTACAGTTCATTTAACCTCAATGCTAGGTATGGGATTTTCCTACCAAAAAGATTTTAAGAGATTTCCATATCAAATGATTATAAATCTAAAACACTGTAATTTAAATAAAAACCAAAGGTTTTATTACGAATATATTAAAAGTTTATAGAACAGATTATAGTTTCTTTTAATTTTAAAGTGAAGAATGACATTATTTCGCTGTATAAGTGTTTTCCCTGGTGACTTTTATTGCAGAACCCCTAGGTTCTGTGGGACCCACTTTAGGAATCGCTGTCTTAGAAAATAGATACGTTAGAATATAGCAAAACTCGAAAGTTACTACACTTTGAATTTACTATGTTCTAATGTATTAGATATTATTCCTTTATTCCCCTTTTCTTACTCTAAATCCTAAGGATGAAAGGGGCGGTAAAGGAGTACCAATTATATTTTCATTCCGTCCCTAAATGAAATAAATAATATCGTGTCAATGTAAAAATAAGGAAGAACTCGGTAACTTTGGTTCGAGCATACGGAAATAATACCAGATGAAATGTTGACGGGACAGATATGCAGTGGGAATATGAAAGGATATATTATATATACCAGGAGTGGCCTACTTATAATGATCAAATAAACCGTGTGCTTTCTGATGGTGGAGTTAAAATCTCCTGAATTGGCGTGTATGTGTGAGTGTAGTTGTTTGATTTTTAAGAAATAACAAAAATCTTTGGTACTGCTTGACTTGTGGTCTCTTCATATAATAGGCTACCACTTCCTTTCCCGTTGGTATTGTAAGAGGCGACTAAGGGAATTTAATAGTCGATAGATGAGCAGCAGCGTCCTTAAAATATCAATAAAGCCTAACTGCGATTGTCGACCCGCCTGCCAATCATAGCAACTACTGGCAAATCCCCTTCAATTGGTAGGGGTAGGTCTATGTTCAGCAGTGGACAGTCAACGGCTGATATGATAACGATTATCAACTGAAAATCGAATCCGGGACATCATTTACGTAAAACTCATCCACCAATAAACAACGATGCAAAAGCAATGAAAATTATAAAATAGTAAATAAGTAACTATATAATATCTATACGTAGATAACTTTCAGATATATTAATTCGTTAGTTCCAGTAATAAACGCGCTATTTCTTTGTAGCTATGTTTGAATACGCAACATGTTCATCAGACGACCCAGTATGCCATTAATCAGGCGTTTTTGCCTTGTCTAACCCAATGCGGGGCTCAAACGTAGCAGATAAATTCCACTGAATTACTACGACAAGATTTTCTTTGGGAATCCTCCGGCGGCAGCGAAAAAGTGTTTGTGTGAGAAATATATATACGCATTGTTGTTGTGAATGTTTGTCAATTTGTCTACGTAATAAGCGTTTTAGTAACTGGATAGTTATTAAACTGACTACGGGAGTAATTCTAAGTTGCTTTAGTAACGTTTGAAAAATGTATGAACTGGTCAATGTCCGTAAAATAATTAGTTCCTTCATCATCATCATCATCATATCAGCCCTTAACTGTCCACTGCTGAACATAAGCCTCCCTCTTGGGGGTTTTCCAGTAGTTGCCACGCTTGGCAAGCAGATTAGCAACCGCAATTAGGCTTTAGTTACGTTTTAAAAGGGACACTGTTGCCCATCCCTCGTTCACTTTTAGTCGCCTCTTACGACACCTATGGGAAAGAAAGGGGTAGCCTATTCTATGCCGGGACCATACTACCGCCCTTATTTATAATATTTATTAATTATTGACAAATTTTAAAGGTTTTAGAAATATATTTAGATGTTTGTTAGTTGATCATTCGTAAAATGTTAAATGAAATTGAATGAAATTTGGTGCTTGAGTAGATTATATCCTAATCCAATGAATGAATGAATAAATGAATGAATATTTGCAAGAAACGCATAGGCTACTTTATATATTGAGTCAAGCTAGGGCTGCCATCCGTTCGGAATTCCCCGGATTTGTCCTAGTTTGAAGGGCGTCCGGGAGCCAACTGACAGGATTTTTGAAAAGTGTCATTTTTATTGTCAAGGGAAGTCTAATTTTTTTATAGGTAGGCGACCAATTGAAATAAATCTTAGTTACAAACTTATTCTCAATAACCCTGTTTTTATATAACTATGTTTTTATTTTTGTTACAAAAAACATTTTTTCAGCAATGTCCGGGGAAAATACCATATTTCACCCAAATGTCTGGAATTTTTGCCGTGTTTATTCGGTGTCGGCAATTTAGGCGACGGTAGCCCTAACTCAAGCAGTCAAAGATGTGGGAAAACGGCTAGATTTTTATAGTATGTATTTTAGAAGGACATTAGTAAGTAGCTGTATCCTGAAGACTGTAGTTAGCAGGGTATATGGTATATTAGTGAAATATTGAAATAATGATGATAATAATAAAATTTCGTTTCACCTTGCAGTGATGTTATCTAATACCTAACTTAAAACATTACGGTAAACTGTAAACTAAAAGTAATTACACATCTACTACACCGGCATTAAAAATATTCATAAGGTATGCGGTACACCTGTAAAAAATATTTATGTTTTCGTATATTCCGACCTTATATTTTCGCACCATTATAAAAATGTATAAAAGTAATAAAAGGTAATACATTATTTTATAGACCTACACTATATTTGAATTATTCACATAGTAATAATATGTTACTATCAGGAATATAAGAGGCTTTATTTATATATATTTTGTTCATAGCTGAGCAGTATGAGTAAAGATAGTTTATTTTATCTATTTCTATCGTCAATAAGTTATATTATGCTACACTATGTAAGAAAGAAAGAAAGAAAGAAAACATTTATTGACAACAACAAAAAGTTACATAATGTACACTTAGCCGTATTCTAATTTAAAGGTTATATTGCTAGCAATGATTAGCTATGAGAAATCATGACTAAAAATGCCTTCCCTCGTGCAGTCGAGATTAGATTTGGTTTTTTTTTTTAATGGATGACAATGAAATGGTAACCCCACCCGCGCTATCGGTATACACCGGCGGGGCACCAGTGAAGGGTGATAGGTGAGGATGAAGTAGGTCAGTTAGCCTATCGTGACGAATTCAACAAGAATTGTTCACGATGGTTTCCAGGGGGAACCACGTGGAGGTCGACCTAATAAGGCATATTGCTAGCAATGGGGCTGTCAAACTCCAAAGCTAATAATCCCTTTCCCCCCAATTAGATTAGGTTAGGTATTACTATTCCATTTTCATGTCTTAAAAAAATCTCATATTCTTATAACTTTGTTGCAGGTTACTTCTGGCACATCACAGACTTCCACTATGATCCACTCTACACATCACAAGGCGATACTAGAAGACGTAGGTACAAACTGTTATAGAAAACTGCTTTATTAATCGAATTATTAAAGGAGGAGATTTTAAATTCAACTGTATGTACTCATTGTATACTAGCTACTCTAATAGTACTAAGTTTACATCAAAGGATACTTTGTTAGACCTATTACAATTAGTAAATGCAAATGTAGTTATCAAAATTAATTCATAATTGCCAAATTGACTACCTTTCTCCTTTTCGACGATGTGTGAAGAGTAAAATGTTATTTTTAATTCATTTATAATTACTATTATATTTAAATCAAATTTTATACTTTTACACGTACACATAACTTAATATTAGTAATTTAAATTTATTATTATTGTTATTTGTAATCTTGTAAAATAAATTTACTGAAATATTTCTTTTACAATTGTTAAATTGTTTCTCTTTTTTTAAATTATTTTCTCCAATGAGTTGTATTTATAAATATCCCTTTATTTGACTTATAAAATTATATTTTGATGTTTTATCTTTTCTTCCAAAATATATTAACTTCACTGATTCACTTAGTGCTTTATTTTAATAATTTTTCTTAAACAAGTAATACTCGTAAGTAAGTTTTCCATTTGCCACTTTGGCTTTTCGCTGGCGAAGTGTGGTCATGAAAAATGTTATATTCACCATAATGGTAATAATAAGCCATGGAACTATATTTAATTTATTATCATTTATTAAAATTATCACTTTAATATAACAGTGATGTTATTAGTGACAAATCATAAAATGATTTTCACACGCAAAGACTTATGACGAACTCGCCACTATTTGCTTTTAAAAGTGGCATATAAAAGATGATTTTTATGATAAAAGCGAGCGAATAGAGACTTTAATGCATTATGATAAAGTGTCTATTTACTTGATCAATATGGCTTAGCTGGCCATCTGATTCGATTTCACTTCACTGCCGATGACTCACGAATAAATCCGAACGCTTCGACTATCTGCGATTTCATAGAGTGATTTGTAGCACACTGTAAAGTAACATAGCAGATCTGACGTTTAATTTAATGTAGCGTATTAAATATCATTTGTGATAATGTGAAATATAATATAATACTAATAATCGCCTTTGACCACATATTTCAGTAATCCGTAATAAGATAGGTAAATCCGACACCACTCCGTTACAGATTAAGTGATAAGCATCTATTTGCGCGACTATTTTATTTATATATTTATTATTAATTATACAAGGTTTTTGTTTTAGAGAAGTTGTACAAGTCAACAATATCTGATTGAGAAACGGACACTATGAGAGTATCAGTTTTAAAGGCATAAAGAATGCTTGTTGAAATATTTATATTTAAAATATGTGTGTCATCTGAGAAATGCTCAAGTACAGTAAAAATATCTTGGCAGTAAAATAACTCTGGACTTCCCTCGATTTTATTAGTTCCAGACTTCCAGCGTTTTATTACATTTTTGCAAGAAGCACGTGATAAAACTTAGTAACATAAAATTTCACAGCAAGAACATAACTGTATTTCTTATCATAAATTTAATAAGATTGAAATAAGATGTCATTTTTAATATAAATATATATATTTAAATTTCATGTCAACCTCATTAAGTGCCAATAGTCTCTTATAAATTTTTTTTATTTATATATTTGTTCCTTATTGCGTTCCATAATGTGATTAGTAAATATTAAAACAGGTCTAGATCCATATCCTGTTGGACACAGCATTTAGGAGAGAGGAGTACAAACTTTTTGACTTTGTAAAAATAATCAACGATCAGTTTATACAAAAAATACGTACCTAGTGTAAAAAAAACATAATGGTTAAATAATATTTAAGACAATGTTATAATTATAGATGTATAATTTACTTTGCATTACTTATAGCACACAAATAAAACAAATATAAAATACATATGCACAAAATTAAAAAAAGCAAATAAAAGAATACATATAAAAAAAGGAAAATAGATTTATCTATAGACGAGAAAAAAATATATCTTCAAGAAAAATAAAATATATCTTCAAGAAAAGCGTATATTCCTTTTTAAAAGGCCGGCAGCATACCTGCAATGCCGCTGGTGTTGTGGATGATCATGGGCGGCGGTACTCACTTACCACAGGGGGCAAACGAGCATGCGGTTCGCATGCTCGTTTGCCCCACAGTACAATTACACACAGTAGCAATTTTTTAAACGCTCTGTCGAAAATAGATGTTACTTGGTATTGATTAATAGATCTACCAGGATGCTGTGCCATCCATTTATCAGCTTCAAGTGCGTACTGATTTTTTAGAGGACTGTAAATGGTTCTATCCGAGGGTTGTATATTGTGACTACTGTGAGGTGGCAATGTAAGTACAACGATGTTATTCTCTCTGCAATACAGAGTAGCTTGCAAGCTAATATGGCTTGAATGATTGTCAATAATCAGTATTGGTGAAGTGCATTCCTTGAAGTGTACCAGCCACTGAAAATATAAGTCCGCGTTGGTGAATCCGGAATCAGATGTCATGCCAATGCTACCAGCCGGAGCTCCGTCCATAAGTTCACCCTTTATTCTTTTTCGAGGCAAAATAAATGCAGACGGCACATAATTTCCAGTTGCATTAACACAACAAACTACGGTTATAGTTTGACCACGTTCTCCGGAAACAATTTTGTCAACTAGAAGGCAAACAAATATGACTGGGTAAGTATATGCATTTTAATTAATGTGGACACTTACCCCTGGACACTTACCCCATCCCATTAAAGCAAATAAAAATAATAAAATTTCGAAGTATGACTTACCTTAGACAAAATAAATAGATTCACACAAAATATTGAATAACTTCTGTTCTCAGTCACTTTATTATACAATCAGACTAATAACATTGCTTCAGTAACTATGCAAATTAATTTTAAAGAAAAAAATAACAAATCCGTGCAAAAGCAATACTGCTGTGTAAGTTTCTACAGCATTGTGCAGCAAACCTGTGACGTAGTACTCTCGCTTGGTGGTCAAGTGCTAACTAAACGCGATAGGTCTCGACCTGCTGTCATCCATGGGGTTCCCAGAATGTTCACTGCGGACACTTTTTCGCCGCGTACGTTTACCCCACATGACTCTACTGATATTTATTCATATTGTAATTATTTATTCTCAGTCTCTCTATATAATCTATAATAACTTAAAGCCCTTTAATAAATGGTTTGATGATAAAATTGCAACATCGTCAGTTTTTAGTCATGTATTTTAAATATATAGATGTCTACTGTAAATAAATGATACAAATACTTCAGCCGAAAATAACTCGATTAATAGCCGAGTCATCGATATTACCCAGCCTTTTTACAGAATTTATATTCTTACATATTTCATCCAATTAATCTAGGCATTGATTACAAAAAAGAATTATAAAAAATATATAGAATAGGCGAAGATATCACATAAATAATTAAAGATTGTGCCCCAAAAAAACCATATTCAATTGTAACAAATTCAGTTATTTACATATAAAAACTTAACTACTGAACTAATTTTAATAAAACTTCTACAGGACAATATGTAAGTACAGCTTTCAGATATTTTTTTTAAATAGCTTTAAAACTGACTAAGTTATGAAGTGACAAACTACAAAAGAAATACAACTGAAAGTTTTTCTCTCAACTATCTTTGAAGTCAATTAAATATTATACAAAAAGGAAACACTGTCGAAAAATATTCCGTTGGATGTTGTTTGAAATTTAATTACTATGAACTTTAGTTTATATAATATTTCATTTACTATAATTTCCATAATATTTCTTCTAAACTTGCCAACATTTAGTAAACATCCTTGGCAAATGAAATAAATATTTATGAGCAAGATATTAGTCTTGTATTATCAAAGTATCTAGTCAGTGATATACCTATATTGTATATTAATTTATGAAATCATTTATTTATTTATAAATCGCTCACTACATTTACAGTATACGAAAACGTGTAGTGAGCCAAAGATTCATTTTACAAAATTAAAAATTTTAAACAATAAATATTTAGGAGGTTTATCTAATTTGTCAATAAAATAAACAATATTTCGCTGTTGAGCAATCAGAGAATTGAGCAAAGAAATTACCTGACAAGTGGGAGCAAATTGAGCAGTACAGGTGCGAACCGTATATTAACTATATGTGTATAGTTTTATTTGTCGTGTGTAGTCCCAGTATAGAACGGACCACCTCTTTCGTTCCCGTAGGTTCGTAAGAGGAGACTAAGGGTACTTAATGGTCGAGAGTTGAAAAGCAGTGTCCCTTTTAAAACATCATCAAAAACCTAATTGAGGTTGCCATACTGCCTGCCAAGCGTGGCAACCACTTCCAAAACCATCCCCATTTTTGGGGGGAGATTTATGTTCAGCAGTGAACAATTGGCGTCTGATATGATAATGATAGTTTTATTTAACAAAAATACTATGTATATACTAAATTAAATAATTGTTTTAATTAACGGTTCTTAATAACTTAATCTAAACTCAATGCAGACTCAATCAGATTCATTTCACTAGGCAGAGGGTACAGATTTATATCGCTTCGATTTGTAGTGGAATCTCGGGGTTTGTCGCTGTATTAACCACCCTTGTAGCAGCTGGCTTAAATTGATAAACCATTGACCAAGTTTAAATGGGATGCTGTGTTCCAGATAGTCGACATTTTAGGTATTGATATTTGAGAGGTTTAACAAAATAAACTCTCTTTCACTATTGTCGAACAACCTTTATGGACTGCATGAGAAATTATTTGATTTATTTTTTATTTTATAATTTCATATTAGCTGTCTCCTGTCCACTTCTGAAAATGGGCCTTCCACAAAACGAAGGTTTTATCAGTAGTTGCCACGCTTGATAAGCAGATTGGCAATCGTCGTTAGGCTTTGGTGATCTTTTAAGAGGGTCGTTGCTGCCTATCGCTCGACCATCAAGTTCCTTTAGCCACCTCTTACGACATCCACGAAAAAGGAACAGGTAGTCTGTTACATGCCGGCATTATACAGAAAGAATACTTTTTATAATAACTTCGAACAAAAGTCGATTGCTTGGATATCTCTGTCCCTTTTGTATTTCTGCTAAAGCGATTATGTTTGCATGGCTATGTTTCGGTTTCTAGGGTGAGGTAGGTGATATGATAATGAAATTATAGGGTACTGGGTGGGAAAGGGATTGTTAGCAATGGAGTTTGAAAGCCCTATTGTTAGAAATATACCTTATTAGGTCAACCTCCACTTGGTTCCCCCTGGAAACCATCGTTAACATTTCTTCATGAATTCGTCACGATGGGCTAACTGACCTACTTCATCCTCACCTATCATCCTTCACTGGTGCCCCGCCGGTGTGTACCGATAGCGCGGGTGGGGTTACTATTCCATTATCATCCAATAAAAAAAATGAATTATAGGGTACTGAGATATAACACCTTAGTTCTCAAGAAAGGCAACGCATTAAAAAATATCATGGACAACACAGTATACTCTGTTGTCTATCTGTTGTTCGTGTCAATACATCAGGTGGACCGTCAGCTTGTTTGGCATTCAAAGTTACCTAAAAAAAGTTACATCCCGTGGCTTCGCCCGCGTGAATCAGTATATAAAGTATTCTGTATTCTAAGTTGGGATATAAGTTATTTCAATTCGAGCTACGCTCTTATGTAGCTGACGCTCAATGCCGCAGCGCTTTCGCATAAAACTTTTAATACGAGTATAAGTGGGGAACTGTAAAAGAAATTTATTGTCTTCTTTAAACAGTTCCGTTGATATAGTAATATTTGTTGCTATTTTTGAATATTTAATGATTTAGTATTTAGCAAACTGTGTGGTTCTAGTATTGAATGGATTACTCTTTTCTTTGTTGAATTTAATTAATCGAGCGATGAGCAGCAGCTGCCCATTAAACCCTCATAAACTGTTTCTTAAATATTACCAAAGCTTAATTGCGGTTACCAATCTGCCTGCTAAGTGTAACAACTACTGGCAAACCCTCTCAAGGGAAGGGGGAAGGGATTGTTAGTAATAGAGACTGAGAATCCACTTGCTAACAATATACCCAACCAGGTCGACCTCCTCGCGGTTCTCCCTGGAGACTATCATGGTTAATTCCTGATGAATTTATCATGATAGGCTAACTGGCCTGTTTTCATTCTCATCTATCACCCTTCACTGGTGCTCCGCCAGCGCATCCCGTTAGCGCAGGCGGGGTTACCATACCATATTCACCCATAAAAAAAACCCTCTCAAGGGGGTAGTACCATATTTAACTGTATACAATTAACGGCTGATATGATCTGATGATGTAACAAAGCAGAAGTCGAGCCCACTATCCATATTTTCTATTAAAATTGACATAGAAAGTATTCAGTGTCTGTCAGTCTTGAACTCTTGCAGTTACTAACCCGCTTACCAAGTGTGGCAACTACTGCCTCCCCCCCAATCCTCACCAATAAGGAAAGGACTATATTCAGTATTGGATAGTTAACGGCTGATATTGTAAGGAATCACGAAGATGTCATTATTATTAATATCAACAAAAGTAGACGAAGTTGTGGCTAATTAATACTAGAGGGAAACTTTGCACAAAAGTCGATTGCTTGAGTACCTCTGTTTCTTTCGTGTTTCTACCGTGAAGCAGTTGTGTTTACATGGCTGTGTTTCGGTTTGAAGGGTGGGATATGGCGTGAATTTGCAGGGTACAGAGGAATAACAACTGAGTCCTCAGTATACTCTGTTATATCCACTGCTCATGTCTATAGGCGACGGTTATCACTTTCCATCAGGTGGGCCGTCAGCTTGTTTGCCATTCTAAGTTGTATAAAAAAAAATAGCCATAACTTTGGCTGCGGAGCCGGAATATTTTGATTGTCCTGTACAATAAAAGTGGATTATGTCTTTCATCTCAAATACTATGTGCATACTAAATTACATGACGATTGGTTGAGAGGTAACAAACGAACAAACAAACTTACTTTCACATCATATCCCACTATGCTACGCGTATAAGCAAAAGTGGGTATGTTTTCATGGATGGATATTTGTCACTCAGTTACATTCAAATGGTTATTTTATTTTATTTATTCATTAGTACAAATATGTGTACATCGCGGACTTAATGCTAAAAGCATTCTCTCCCAGTCAACCATAGGGAAGTGTCAGAATACTCGAATGCGATACTACTAATTATTGATATAAATACATAGTTAAATTACATATATAAACGAATAAATATATTTAAATGATATTTAATATATATTATCTACGTTAACATGGTATGCCCCTCCAATGTTTTACTTCAACGTGTGTGACCATATACAGATGTTTGTGTTTGTAAGGAAACTTCTTCAGTAGCGGTCCAGCCAGAGTATTATTATACTCCTTGATCGAAACCTTGTAGGTCACATATTTTTAATCCTTTGCATTATTTTTTGGATTTTAGAGGGACGTGCTATGTTATAGTAGACGACCTATAACTAATTAATTTAAAACATTGGATACTTTACATACCCGCTGATGCAAGCGGGCAAAGCCACGGGAAATATCTAGTATATAAATATTAATAGGAATTAGAAAATAGTTAAAATATGATTTTTGACGCAGACTGTCGGAGAGCGGACGAGCGTGGAAGTTCTGGCCATCACAGGGCCCTCGGCAGATACGGTGACTACTCATGCGACAGTTCCCTGGAGTTGATCGACTCAGCGGCGCGCTATATGCGTACCAGACACTCGGAGAATGTCGAGTTTGTGTTATGGACAGGGTATGTATTCACACTTGAATTGGTTTCATATCAAAATATGTATTATATTTATTATAGATTACTAGTTGATCACTTCCAATGTCACAATGTTGGGTTGAATGCAACAGAAAAGACCTCTTTCAAATAGAAGCCCACTTTTGTTAATATATAAAATTTTATATCTTATTATTATAAAATATATATGTTGATGTGTTCAATTACTTAGTATTATTATATGTTTAATTTTAACTAAGTATTGAGTTTTATCTATAGCAATACAGTTTTAACCCGGAATATTTTATAACTTTCTTTTAGCTTCTCAAAGTTTGACTGTTAGAGATCCTTCTATGGGATAAGTTCGCCATTGTATATTAAATATTTTTTTACATGTCCAATGTAAATTATATGTAATAAAGATTTTACAACAACAAAAACAAAACTTATCTATTCCACAGTATATGTTTTTCAACCGACTTTAAAAAGAAAGAGGTTCGCAATTCGGTTGTATTTTTTATATTTGTTACCTTATAACTCCCTCCGTTATAAACAGATTTAGAATTTTTTTGATATGAAAGAAAATACTTGCAGATTGATCTCATAGAAATGTTATCAACATTGATTTGGTAGTTTAGTTTTAAAATCAAAATAATTGGTATTGCCAGAATTTTAATTTTTTTAATGGAACATTATCTTTAGTTATTTACAGGTGGAGTAAGTAATATGCATATAACAATATAACGCTTCATATTATGCATAGATAAAAGAAAAAAATCTCCAAATTTTCTCGATTACAATATTATGCATTAAATCAAGAAATGCAGTATTTATAAATATTCTTTTAATGAAAGGCAATAATATTTCTTACTTAGATTTTAAGTTAAACTTAATTTTTTAAGTGCTTTAAAACGAAATATGTAATAAACATTTCATAGTGTTTAAGAAATACGAGAAATGTCATCCTGGCTTTTTTCCGTAGTACTTATTATCCCGAGCGTAGATATATCTACATGTGCTACGCCGTAGCTCCCAATGTTCTACGCTGCAGACACTTGAGTCTATTTACGGCGTGGAATTTAATGTTTATTAATTTACTCCGACCTGCTATAGACTACTTTTACAAACGAATAGATAAGTTGTCGTCAACGCATACGTGAGAAAGTGACAGCAATATTTGGCGTCTTGTTTTTTGCTATGATTTTACTAACAAAAACGTGCTTATCGTTTATGCACTTATCTAGAGGGGCAGAGGGGCGTATTGATAAATATAATACAGTCAGAAACAAGAGAGGACTAAGAATGTATACTATTTTTATTAATATTGTGAAGACGACATATTTGTCTGTTTGTTTATAATGGATTAAAGATATTTAACCGATTTAAAAAAAAAAATTGCCTATAGAAAGCTACATTATCAACGCAACTAGTAAGCTATATATTATTTACTATATATTGTACATGCATTAAGGAAAATTATGTTACTTCTTTTATGTTTTTTGCCTTTTTTCTTTTTGTATACGTATTCTTTTACCTTTTTTGTGTGTATGTCTATCTATGTCTGTTGTCATTTGTATGCTGTAAGTAATCAAATAAATTATATATCTGTCTATCTATCTATTATGTAAAATTCTATCCACCGGTGCGAAGCCGGATCACTAGTATATTGCATTTTTTAGTCTACCAACCTGTTTCACGTGTACAACATCATTATGCAACAATATTTACCTGTAGCGTATTTAAATATTATTTTACTATTTAAATATGCTGCGAGTAAATATTGTTATGTCTTTGTGAGACTCCCACAGAAAACATAGTTTAAATATTATGTTTACCAGTGCACAGTACTCGTGTATATATTGACAGAACGTGCATAACTGTTTAGTAAATATTCCTATAATGTTCTAATGGTATTTCTCAATATTATTCTGTTCATTTCTATAACATAATTTTCATTTAATTAAGAAAAAATTTAATATTTAAGATGTGAATGTTATTGAATAGTGTCTTAAATATGTTTTAATTAACGAGAAACTATTGTAAATATGTTTAGAACTTTATTTGATACTAGTGGCGCGTCCCGGCGTCGCACGGGTGGACATTTTTAACATTTTCCTTCACTGCTCTGCTCTCATTGATCGTAGCGTAGAAAAGTATAGTGTAACCTGCCCAGGAGTATGAAGAATAATTGTACTAAGTTTCGTTAAAATTGGTCGAGTAGTTTTTGTTTCTATAACGAACATACAGACAGTTAGACAGACAAAAATTTTACTGATTGCATTTTTGGCATCAGTATCTATCACTAATCACCCCCTGGCAGTTATTTTGGAAATATATTTCATGTACAGAATTATCCTCTCTACAGATTTATTATAAGTATAGATAAGTATATAATAATGTGTGCATATGAGAGATTAATAAATTACTGACCAACTTTAATTCTGACAAAACCATTTATTTTCATTTAAAAACTAAATTATTGAAACAATTTTGATAAAAATTTCTGTAGAACCAATCTGTAAGTATATCTTTTCAGATAAAGCGAGAAATGACATAGTTATGTTGTGATAAACATAAAATAAAAAATAACCGAATTAAGAATCTTCTTTTCGAAGTCTATCAGTTAAAAAGTCATATAGTCTACAATTTCTTTCTTATAACATATAGCAGAGTTTAATAGGTATATAGCTCTCAGGGCGTAATTTTTTTACCACTGAGGTGGCAAATTAGCATATAGACCACAATTTACTATATTTGAAATTATTAAATAAATTAAATAATAAATAAGATCTAAACTAATAGTATAAAAATATAAAATTCAATTTTATGTTTGTAAAGAATAGAGTCGAAAAATGCTTAACCGAATTTAAAAATTGTTTCCCTTATAGAAAGATGGGTTATGATTATGGTTACGGTCCCCTTAAAGACAAAGCCTATGTTCAGTAGTGGACAGTTAACGGCTAACATAATAATATGACACATAAAAATATGAGTTATTGGATGAAGTGGGGGTGAGTCGCTAGAATTTTATAACGTATACGATTAAACATAAAGCTCTCATTTCAGTGACATCATTGCGGCCCGGTATACTGGCAATGAGGACGACAAGTACCAGGCGATCAGAAACATGACGGATCTACTAAGCAGGACGTTCAGTTCACACTTTGTGTTCCCAGTGTTGGGACATTTAGACCCCGCACCATCCGCCCAATTAACAAACCTTTGGATGCACTGGTTACCACTGGAGGCCTTACAGACCTTTCAAAATGGTATGAATTATTTATTGCTATTTCATTGTTAATTATTGTAGAAAAATATATAATATATACATAATTATATATTTGATACTATTATAGTGTTGATATTTCGAACCTGTTACAAGAATCATAGTTACAAAGTAATAGACGAAATGTGATGATAATTTAAGGGCAATATTAAATGTAAACACAAGTACAAAATAAACTCAACTGGATAAATTAATCCATTAAATTACAATTATATTAAATTAATCAAAATAATTACTATAAATAAATAATAATATAAGAATAAAAGATATTATTAATAAAAAATAAGAAATATAAAAATAATATACTGTCTCGTTCCTAATCCATCTATCTCCTCCCTTCCATAATGCTTGCATCATTTTCCCGTTGAATTGCTAAAAATTTTCTTTGATCCAAATAAGACTTGGAACGGCAACCATCGTTTCTGTTCACAACGCATTGACCCAAGCCTTTATAAAAATTTTCGCCTCCTTCATTTTGTATATTATTGTTATTTATTAATATATATATTTATTATTGTTTGCAATTTAAGCTCACTGTATTTATTGTGAAAGCGTGTTGTTTGTCTGTTATTTCTTGGTAATTTAAAGGCTTTAAAAATTTATACATAATATATACTAAATAACATTATAATATAATACACAAAATGAAATGTTACATTTATTGAATACTGGCTTTTACCCGCGAATTCATCCGCGTGATACGGATACGTTTACTAGCTACTGTTCTTCCTTCTATACAGTATAGGTATACTAAATTTCATTGAAATCGACTAAACTATTAAGACGTTATGAGATGATAATTAAACAAACAAAATTCACTTTTACATTTATAAATTGGTAAAGTTTTAATGAACAAAATAATTGTCTAATTGAAGTATAAGTTCAACTATATTCCATCATCATCATCATCATCATTATCATCATCATCACTATCATTATTTGTATAGAATAATATTTTCTGTCCATATCTACAATGGTTAATAATATTACAAATATTAAAACGTCATCATTTATCGTACTTGTAATTAAAAGCAATTACTATTAATAATGCTTGGATTACTGTCGAATAATTGTACACAAATTAAACATATCAGGCACACACTCGAATTACATCTATCGACAAATGGAGAACTTACTTGTAATTATTAATATTAACAAAAGGGGAGTAAGTTTCAATTTCCTAAAACTTACTACATTGTTAATAACGTCTAATAACCTAGATAATTACTACACACCATAAGCTATGTAAACCTATATTAATTAGTGGAATGATTATTATTAAAAAATTAAAAACATTATTTTATTATTTTATAAAATCTGTAATATTATAAAATTTAATATTGGCAAAAACAATAAAAATGTTTAAAAAAACGTTTTGTACTTCTTGGCGAGAGCAATTCTTATTCTTTACGTAGTACTGACAACTTCTATCTCAAAATTCCTACTCATTCCTCCTCTTTCTCCAAATCCAAATCCTTTTCTGTGCAAGTAGTTCGTTTATAGAGTTCAATCCCTCAGTCAGTCGTAGGATTTCACGTCTGAAATAAAAACTTCTAAGCTTCACAAAGTGAACATCATTTTTATAAAACATTTATTTAAGAAGTATTTTTTATTAGAAATTATTTTTATCTGTGTATTAGTTTTTTTTATACAACTTAGAATGGCAAACAAGCTAACGGTCCACCTAATGGAAAGTGGTAACCGTCGCCTATAGACATGAGCAGTACCATGGACATAACAGAGTATACTATTTCGCCCATGATACCCCCATGCGTTGCCATTCCTGAGGACTCAGGTGTTATTCCTCTGTACCCAGTAAATTCACGCCCAGTATAGTACGGGGTCGCCACTCAAGAACCATTCTTCCCCATCGATTGTCGGTTCTTCGAGCTATGTGACCCACTCATTGCCATTTCTGCTAGCTTATCATTCGCGCTATGTCAGTTACTTTGGTTTTTTTGCTTTTATTTTTGGTTTATAAGTGGTTATACGTGCAAATGGAAAATAGAACTATTAGCTACTAAATGGAGTGACGATTTCAAGTACATTGCAGGGAGTCAGTAGATGCAGGTGACTCAGGACCGTTACTTATGGCAGTCTATGTTCAGTAATGAACAACTAATGGCTGAGATGATGATGATGATGATGATGATGATTAGAATAGTAACAACATTTTCATTTATTGCACTGATTTACATTAGAAGTAATAAATAACATACATGTGCCTAAAGAAGTTTTCACTTCAAAATTAATTCGATATTACCACCAATTATTGACAGCACCAGAGGGAGACTTTGTACAAAAGTCATTTGCTTAGGTACCTCTGAACCATTCGTGTTTCAACCGTAAAGCAGTTACATGCATTGCATGGCTGTGTTTTTGTTTGAACGGTGGGATATAACGTGAATTTACAGGGTACAGGGGAATAACACCTGAGTCCTCAGGAATGGCAACGCATGGGGGTATTATGGGCGAAACAGTATACTATGTTATGTCCATGGTACTGCTCATGTCTATAGGCGACGGTTACCACTTTCCATCAGGTGGGACGTCAGCTTGTTTGCCATTCTAAGTTGTATAAAAAAAAAACAAAAATTTTGGTGTTAAATGTTGTATTGCTTTCCAGGTGGCTACTATACTATCGAGCAATCACATAGCAAGCTAAGAATAGTAGCACTGAACACGAATCTATTTAGTATCCGCGAGTCTAATAGTCTGCAAGCGAGAAACCAATGGGAGTGGTTAGACGCTGTCTTGGATAAAGCCACGACCAATAAAGAAATGGTGAGTATTATTGTTGTATCATTTAAGTTTATTTACAAGCTTGCACTCGCAGCTTCACTTGCGTGTGGTATACTTTCATCCTCTATTTCGCCGCTTTTTGGGGTGAATTTTTCAAAAGCAAATAAACAAGTGATAAAAAGGTTGCTTCAGAGTCGGTCGGTAACCGCTTACCATTATGTGGACCGTATGCTTGTTTACCACCTCAGTGGTTTAAAAAAAATATTAATTTTTGTTTTGAACCAAGGTATAACTTTTAAAATGACAATATTCTATAGAATATTTCAACCTCCGTTTTATCCCCTAAAGAAATTAATTTTATTTTTTTTTTTTGTTATTTTTCGCCTACGTTATAAAAAGAACTTATTTGCAAGATTTCAAAATTCAGTGATTTCAATTCTGCGTTGATATATAGGCTAGTCACTCATTATCCATATATTATACACTAATATTATATAAATTGATGAAACACACAACACTTTGTCTTTCTTTTTAGTCGAGTAGAAGAGTTGAATTAATTATTTGCCAACATTTTTATGATATTATACGCTGGCAAGGTACCAGTTATGGATGATAGGTGAAGATGAAGGCAGGTCAGTTGGTCCATCGTGAACAATTTGGCAAGAATTCAGCACGATGGTTCGGGGGGAACCGCGTAAAGGTCGACCTGATAGGGTATATTGCTAGCAATGGGGCTGTTATTAACCATTACCAACAATCTCTTTCCCTCCTTTTTATAATATTAGAAGGGTTAAAATAACACTTATAGGTATAAAAGTAATAATTTAATTAATTTCGCTCAATTCACCGTTTAAACAGTATTAGGCCGTTAATATTACGCCCTAAGGGCGAGAGGTCCATAAAATTCGGTGGATTATACACAAGTGTACAGTGTGTTCCACAAAAAATAGAGACCTCAACCTTTTCATAATGCGATGAATGATGAGATATTTCGTAGAAAATATGAACTGAGAGCGCGAACTCATGTATTTGCAATAAATTTCGTTTCTAAATAAGAAGTTATTTATGTATTATAAGAGACGGGAATTAATGTGATCATTTAGGTAAATTTTATAGTTAAATGCAGGTATATTATTATTAATTTACCTTTTTCTATTTGCATCTTAGGATAGTAAACAAGCTGATGCCCCACCTGATGGAAATTGTTAACCGTCGCCTGTAGACATGAGCAGTACCATGGACATAACAAAGTATACTGTTTCGCTCATGATATCCCCCATGCGTTGCTATTCCTGAGGACTCAGGTGTTATTCCTCAGTCCCCTGTAAATTTACTGCCATATCCCATATACCTTTAAAACCGGAACAGAGCCAGGATAGAGGTACCCCAGCAAATGACTTTTATACGAAGTCTCCCTCTGGTAAACTAACTCTGGTAACTCGCGTTTATTTCTGTCTTTTATAAAACATTTCTTGATTTACATCTACTTAGTTTAATTTTTACTTAATTTGGTATTACTATTTTCTATTAAGCAAATCCCATAGTATCTAAACAGGGTATCTTCTACTATAATTGAAACTAAACAAATCCACTTACTAAAAAAAACATAAAACATGCAGCGCAAATGTCTAAAAGAAATTACTTGTTTGTAGCTGAAAATAAGAATTTTGATCTTTGTATAATGATCTGCCCAACGCGGGAGTAAACTGCATCATTAATAGAAATTTTGTTTGTTGTGTTTTGTTGTATTCGCTTTTCATTATATATATATATATATATATATATATATATATATCCTTATAATTATTATAAATGTGAATTTGAGTTTTTTTTTTATTTGACACCTTATAGCGTCATAACGGCTTAACCAATTGCTATGAAATTTGATATACACACACTTCCTATATCTTTTACTTCTCCATAGGATGGAAAAGGATGTAGAGGATGCAAATAAAATTATCAAATCTATTAAAGAAATGGCTACATGATCGCGTAACATAGGCATAAAAAGTAGAGTATAGGCAAATTGATAGCCTGTATTTTTTAAAGTCGCTTAAAATATACCTTATTACGTTTCGTGTTAAGCAGGGTTTTCAACCACACACCGCTCATACACGTATTATAACAGTACTGTAACTGTTTGTATTAACAAGTGGTTAGTAACATTACGAGGCGGTTCATAACTACAACCCCGGAACTAAGGTAAGGAAGTCCGGCCCCAGCGCTCTAATAAATTACAGATTAGAAACTCGTTAATCTAATCGCCTCTTCGAAATTGCACGGAAAAGTAATTTTTAAAGAGGTTTTCGGCTTAGTCGACGGATTGCCTTGAATATTTTATGTGACTTTTATTTTATTGTATTGCTGTGGGCGTACACTGTGACTTTAATATGCGTGAAGGTTCCCTAACTGTTACTTTGTTGATGTTGTAGGCGGGTGTAATGAGAATTGCTTTAAGTAATTAAAAAACTTGGCTAGAGTGTGATGGTGATATATATTTGTTTTTCCACTATTCAATACAATACAGTACAATGCAATGTAACATAATAAATTATATAAAAATATACAACATTCTATTAACATTAATTACTATATCTTAATCAATAATAATCGATAAAATGTATAATAAATTACCCAATACAGCAACGCAATTGCCGAGAAATGAATTTAAAAATAAAATAAAAACATATTTTGAACAACACCCTTTTTACAACGTGACAGAATACCTAAATGCCAATATTGAATTATAGCATTATTATTTATTTATGTTTAACTGTAAGAAGTGTGACAATTCCAATTTTATAAATTGAAGTCATAATTATTGGTATATAGTCACCATTATATTGACGTGTATTAACTAATTTATAATGTTAACTATAATTAATTTGTAATGTTATTTTTATTTTATAATTTAAATGTTATTATTATTGTTATTATTTATTTTATTATTTTCAAAATTATAATGTAAATATTGACTTGCCATTGTGTGACGAAAACTGTTACATTGGTTAATAAAGAAATATGAATATAATATAAATATATATTTTATACACAGTAGGTACTGTCCTTCTTATTGGGGTAGTCCTCCTACTATTGAAGTGTACTCGACATACGCAAATTTCCCCAAGCATATTGAAATGTGAATAAATTTTAATAATTTAGTAATAAGAGAATGATCGTGAACAGTCATCTACTAACTTGCCCCTTCCCCCAGCGGGGAAGCAGTGGATGTGGTTAGCACAGGACCGTTAGAAGTGGCGCGCCAAAAAAGAGTGGGTGGGTTGATAGAGAGATAGATAGTAAATTATATAATGGATACAAAATCGATTATTTTTTCTTGAATCGGACTATATAACGATTATTATGAAAGTAACACTACTTTGAAGGGTGACCTAAGAAATCCGAATGCCACAGACCTATGTCCTTTCATATATACCTACCAGAGAGAGACAGTACAAAAGTCGTTTGCTTGGACACCTTTGTTCCATTCGTGTTTCTACCGTGAAGCAGTTTTGTTTGCATGGCTGTGTTTCGGTTTGAAGGGTGGGATATGGCAATGAATTTACAGGTTACAGAGGTATTACACTTGAGTCCTCAGGAATGGCAACGCATGGGGGTATCATGGGCGAAACAGTATATATACTCTGTTATGTCCATCCACGACTCATGTCTATAGGCGACGGTTACCACTTTCCATCAGGTGGACCGTCAGCTTGTTTGCCATTCTAAGTTGCATAAAAAATATAAAAAAATACACGAGTTATGTTATTGGAATAAGAGTGTTTCAAACTCATTTTCATACACGTAGGTTCTGATTATTTCACGGATAGAACTACTAATGATTTACTATGTAATTAATTTAACATGTTAATATGTAATTATTTTATAATAATTTTCCATTTGAATATATACATGAAACAATATTAATATTTGTCTATGAATATGTCGATATTACTATATAATAATTTAGTAATGAATTTACAATCCATTTAATGGATTTTGCTTTGTTGTAACGTATCAATACGTTTTAGTCATACCTATATCGGTAGGTTATATAGATTTTCGTATTCATAAATATGAATAATTACAATAGAACCGTAATAACTCAGTTATGAGTGTCAGATAAACACTTGTACAAAATACAAATGCTCACAGAATAAATATTAAGAGTAGGTCAATTTCTACTAATTATTTTAAACGTCATAATTTGCATAAACGTTTGAATTAACCAATTCTATTTATAAAGTTTTAAACCAATTTGAATGAAATTTTAATTCCATCATCTGTTTCATCATCATCATATTAGTCGTTAATTATCCACTGGTGAACATAGGCCTCTCCCGTATGGGAGGATTTTACTAGTAGTTGCCACGCTTGTAATGCAGGTTGACAACCGCAGTTAGACTTTTGGTGATGTTTTAAGACGCTTCTACCTATCCCTCGACCATTAAGTTCCCTTAGTCGGCTTTAATGATATCCACGGGAAAGGAAGGGGTAGCCATTTACATCATTTATTTACTCCATCTTAAATAAACACACAGATTTCTTTTTATATCCACATATCATTTTCATTTACTAATTAATTTGTTCAAAAATGTTTTTCATTTTTTGACAAAACATGGTGTCATTATAATATATACGAGTACATGAAGAAAATACAATCGAAATAAAATCTTGTCTTTGAGATATTGAAAAACAATATTTAGATTGAGTATTTTATCAATTTAGATAATTGAACTACCATAATATTTTAGGCTATACTCGTGTCCCGGAAATATGGTATTTGATACGGTTAGAATGTATTTCAGAAAGGTGGGGAGAGCGAGTGTTCCTTATTAGAATTAACAATGCATTCTTACATTATAAATCTGTCAGAAATTTTAATATAACTTTTGTACAGTACGTTGTGTGTACGCGACCGCATTGTAACTCCTGTGTTTAATTATAACTTTCGTGTTTATAACGATACGACTTTATTTTGTGAAGTTTCGAATTAAACGCAGTAGGTTGCCGTAATTGGGTGCATCCTTGCTTATGAATCTTTTGTAAATTAAAATTGCACGTGTCTTAAATTAATCACAAGTTTTACACAATTTTATCGATTGTATTCAAGCAATACTACAAGTGATTTATTATATCGGTACAATATATTATTTCATACTTAATTACTGATTATTTGATTGATTTTTGAATTATTCGTAATTTTAATTGTACTATCGATTAATCCCAATAATAGCAACATTATTTGAACATATATTTATAGAAATCATAAATGTACACTCTATTTTAGGCATCCCATAAAATTGAGTGATTGAGTGTCAAGAGCTTTATCGACAAGACCGCAGCTTTTACATAAGGAACTAATGAAAACTTTGTGTACTTTTTTTAAAAATAGAAATAGAATAACCGCTATCTATATACGTCGGCAGACCACCAATAATAGGATGTTATTTTCAGCAAAACTGTGCAGAAGTCGACCTGATATTTGATATGTGTATATGTCTAGCAATGTGGCCGCTAGATCCTATCTTTAACAGTCTTCTTTCCCTCCTCATATGTTATATTTGGTTCTTTAACTCCGTATCTCCAATAACTAGGTCTAATACTGTTTTAATTTATTAACAGGTGTAAACTAAAAATAGACCTAATTGAATATTGTTTGTTTTTTTTAAAATAATATATTTACTAAGATTTTCCCAAGAGATTACAGCGCGGTGTTCTTAAAAATCAGTTTTTTTAAGGACACTAACGCATATACGTATCAGAAAGTTATATATTCAATTTATATAGTACATCAATAAATTAAATTGAATGTTATAATTTTTTGACAAATACATATTAAACTTTATGTAATAGTGCGCCACCTACTCTTTGTCTTTTTCTCGGATCGTCCTCGGCGTTGAACGAGAGAAGTTATTTCGGGAGGATGAGCAGTCGAGGTAGCAGGAGCAGTAGAAAGCGCGCAACGGGTCCTCTACCCAAAGGTTGTCTGGAAGAGATTGCTTAGCGATAAAGCCGCCTTTTGTATCACTTCTCATTAATATTTACTGTATTTGTTATCTCTTTTTTTACTTGGTGCAATAAAGTGTAAATAAATAAATAAACACTAGGTACTATTTAATACTCGATTTTTTTAATAAATGATAGTCATTTCAATGCTAGCCTCATAGGAAGGTGTACTGAAGCCTCAATAAAAATTAGAATAAAAGAAAACCCCTAATTCAATGTAATTTTTAAACATAACACAACAACAAACACAAACAAATGTAATTTTTACACAGATATATTTCAAAAACTAGACCTAATTTAATGTTGTAATGTTTTTAACAGGTGTACATAGTGGGCCACGCGGCCCCTGGTGACGTCAACTGAATTTGTGACGTCAACAGTATCATCAGATTCATGCAAACGATTTATTAAAAAAGTATTTTCGCTTAAAGATTGTTCCATAAAAAATATAGAGCCGATTAGATGATTATTTATTTTATTACCGAAATACGCCACACTGCACGACTGCTACGCGTACGACACTTCAGTCGACGCGAACGCAAAATACCTTCAAACTGTTCGCCGCCATTCGAGAATAATCGCTGGACAATTCTTTGGTCACCTCCACGCTGATACATTCCGAGTCATATACGATCATGGTAAGCGGATACTTTCTATTTATTTATTAGGAAATCCAACAGTTTTTTTTTAAATAACAGTAAATATATATTACAATAAGAATCAGATAATTAATAATAGGTTTCCACGCATAATTAGAATAATTTAGATAAATTGTATATATGTACTTACCTTTACTGTAGCCATCTCACACGTTTTTTTATAATTCATAAATATACGTGGAGATTTATTATTAGTTATATATTAATATGTATATATATATATATACATATACACTTAAAAGCTAACCCTATAAATACAAGGATACAATGACATAATTATACTTAATATCATATACCATATATTTATTGAAAAATAAAATAGCCCAATTAAAAACTTTTTACAATAAGAGTTCACGTCTTCTTAACATACCACTCGCTATTGTCACATTAGCATTAAATAAAAGTATAAGTAATAACACCAGTGATTTATTATAAATATTACATGTTCGATACAAAAATGTGTTTCGTTGATAATTTGTTTAAACAACAGAGATGTGAAATGTAATGAAATCAAATTAAATATTTGTTTACTTTGAACAGACATTTGACGTTACCTTAAAATTGTAGATATGTAAATTGTTTTAATAGAATATATTTTTATTTAATTAATATATTAAACAAAATATAAATACAAAATAAATAATCATGAACATTAGTACACTAATGATGATTATGATTTTATTGTAATGACTAGACGATATGTTAGGAATATTTATTGTTAATTTACTAAGAGTTCGGGACAGTAGACAACATTCGTTATGATCTTTATCAAGTAAGTAATATTTGATATTTCTCGTCTATTACTTAATGGTAATAAATGAAATTGTTTACATAATTGTAAATATATTGATAGGCTATACCTTTATTCCTAATCGATAGCATATATATCTCATGAACTTTTTTTTATATTTTTAATACGTGAAATGTAAACGGCGTGTAAATGTATCGTGGATTTCAAATTTGTGAGGCATATTCCAATAAACTCCTGATATAGGTACAATATAAAATTTTAAATGTTTTTGTATTACTAAAAGAGACAGAGTTAGGAAAATTATATTATTCACGTATTTATCGAATATTAATTTAGAGTCGTAAATAACATCGAGATCTTTTAAACTATGATGTCTCAGGAGTATTTCTCCTTTAAAAATATAATTAATAATGAATACTTTTTAAGAAAAACTAATGATCGAACATTTAATCAGATTAAGTTCTAGTTCATTCAGACGGCAATATTCATCAAGGCGAAGTGAATGTGCTAGTAGAGCATTAGCATCGGTCACAGAACAAACTGTGGTAAATAATCATGTCATCCGCGAAACACAGCAAATGGGAATGATGGAAATAATTTGCAATGTCATTTATTTATTTATCTACACCTTACTGCACCATTTATAAAAATAATAAATACCGTTATTCTTTATTAAAAGTGATACAAAAGGCGGCCTTATCGCTAAGCAATTTTTCAGACAACTTTTCAGTAGAAGATATTGGGAAATAAGACAATGGGTAGGTGGAAAAAAAACTTGTTATTTTCATTCACAAATATAGAAAGAGAAGTGGCCCAACAAGGGAACCTTGAGGAACTCCATTAAATATAATTATCCAGCTAGAAATGAGCTAAGTATGTTATTGTTAATGACGACAGTTTGCGATCTGTTATCGATATAGGATGAAAACTACCTTAAGAGACTCTCTTTTAATTCCTATCTTGTTTAGTTTCTATAGCAACAACGAATGATCAATTCTGTCGAAAGCTTTACAATAATCCATATAAATAATATCTACTTGTATCACCACCTTAATTTAAAATCTACTTACCAATGTAACGGATAATATTCATACTAATTAATATATTATGAATTTAATCGTAAATTGAAAATTAATTTATCAAGTTCTAGTTTATTGTAGTTTACTGCTGCGGAAATTACATAAAATGTACACCTCTTATGCTTTAAAAAAAAAAACTATACAGACAAACAAATAAGGCTAAATGAACATTTTCTATTTTATAAATGTATTCAAATAAAAGGAAAAAAAATTATCACAAATTATTAAGTACTTCAAAGGTAACAAAATTAATATGGAACGATTAGTTGACACGACCTTACGGGATACAAACTCACATATCTCTGCTATTGGAGCTAAGAGTATTCCCGGTTACACTACCAATGAACTGCTAATATTGTATAAGTTTGACTCGTGCACGGAAAATATCTGTAAAAAAATTTGATAACATTTAAAAATATTATAAGACCATTTTAATAGAAAAAAGATTATAATAATAAAAATCGACAAAAGAATTATCATAAAAAAGAAGTATTATTCTACAACAGAGCTTATATAATAGCTACATTTACAGAAAAACTTTTACGGATCCTCACTGATTTTTCCATAATGCCCAGTTGAATTACCGACTCAGATATATAAAAGGTTTTTAATAAATCAAATGAAGAATTCTTTTAACGGATAAAATAGCTAATTTTGATATTTACAGGATTTACTGTTACTTTATATAGATACATAGCTGCCGGTATTTAGGTATAATGTATAATAAAATGAAGAGTATAAAATTTCCTGAAATTGGAAATTCGTTGTAAGGAATTCACGATTCCAGGAAATTTTCTACACCTACTTACGGATATTATAAAGAATAAATAAGTATAAGTAATATAAACGACCCTAAGGAATAATGATGATATTATATTAAAAATATATTGGTTGACATCAAATTTTATAACCTTGTATTTTAATGATATCCAAATAGTTTCAAAAAATGTAAAAAAATCGTAATAATTGTTGTTTGATCCTCAAACTGTTTTTATCATATTATATAATAAAATATTTTTTAAAATTTAATTCATTTTCTATCAGGTGGTCCATCAGCTAGTTTGACATTTTATGTGGTATATATGTATGTGAAAGTATGTGACTGCTCACATTTCTCTCTGTATGTGTGCGTGTGTTCGAATGTGTATTTGTGTGCTCATGTGTGCATGTGTGTGAGTGCGCGCAATTGGGTATGTGTTCTTTTGTAAGCACCACAGAGTATTACACTGTACCGCTCATAATTCCTGGCATAGCCTTTTAGTCAAGATGATGACTTGCTTTGTCAATCAACTACGTCAACAACCTGGGGTTACCATTCCATTACAATACATTAAATAAAAAAGTTTTGTTCTAGTTTGTATCATTGTATTGTATTTATTACTCGTGTAATAAATCTATTTGGGCTCTTGTTCCGATTATTAGACACTGATAATAAATTATTTTCCAGACCGACCAGTATCTTGGGCGTTACTAGCACCGTCGGTGAGCCCGCATCGAGATCCAGCTGGGTCGTCGAACCCTGGACTTAGACTTTACAAATTCGACACTAACAATGGAAAGGTACTAATTATCCATAAAGAAGTCATAATTAAAAACACATTAAATCTTATTTCTTGTTTTATAAAATGGTGTTATTTACAAACAGTATATATTTTAGTACGACTATAATTATTTCTGATTCATTTATAATTAGTATAATTCTATCGATTTCCAAATTCTAAATGTCAAATTCAAATGTCAATTAATCAGATTTGTACTCAAATCGATTGATCTTTTACAACTATGCTTGGACTACAGGACATAGAATAAGACCGGATGAACATTGCATCAGTTCAAATTGATTAAGTTTTCATTAATACCAGTACTAGTGCAAGGGAGAAAACTTGAAAGGGAACCTTGTATTAAATTCCTATATTGAACTCTTTGGTCAACGTGGCTATATCGTTGCCGTATTATTTTCCAGCGACGGGGGGAGGAGGGGGGGGGGGGATTATTCCATTCGTTATGATACTTATCTTTACTGAGTACCTTGATTTATATCTGAATATTAAGTAAAGATAAGCATCTGAGAATGTATTCTTGTTTTTAAATAATTGAAAATGGCGGCTATTTTAACTAATACATATATATTAATTTATAGGCAAAACGTAAACATGTATATTATTTTTTAAAATCTCTCTAATTCGGTAAATTTTTAATTCAATTACTAGTAGCTCTAAAAAAATAGCATATAAAAATAGCAATAAATAGAAGTTTTGTCAACAAAACGTCAAATTAGTTAATTATTGATACTCGATACGACGAAATTAGGATGTAAAGTGGTTTATTACATATGAATTTATAGTTGGTTATAAACCGACTTGTCAAATACGTCAAGAGAAATAATGGTAAAGAATTTATTTGATTTACCAGCCATATTTAACTCTCAAGAAAAACAAAATATTAGTAAGTCATTCTGTAATTAATAACAGAATATGCTTCAAAATAGCCATTGTGTTACTTACGGAAAAGTATATAAATATTATGATTTATTTTAGTACAAAATCAAATAATTGTTTACTATTTATATGTTATAAAACTTTCCAAAATAATATTGTCATTCATCATTGTCAATTTATCCATTTATCAGGTGCTGGACTACACTCAATACTATTTAGACCTATCGGCCGCTAACCGAAACACGGGCGCAGCGGAATGGACAGCGGAATACAACCTCACCCAGTACTACGGCTTACATGACGTTTCCGCCAACTCACTACACAACTTGGCCGACAAACTTCGGATAGGCACGCCGCAAGAGACCGCAGTATTCAACAAGTAAGTTTCGGTTCTACCTGTGTCTCAATTACGTTTCTGCATAAGTTCCGTACAATGAGTTTGTTAATTGAATTATCATATTACTTATGTTACCAATAGAGGCTTGCTAATAGTAAAACACAATAGGTGTACATTTCAGTGGACATAAAAATATTAGTTGTCAAATATTCTTTGTACAAGTCGTTTGCTTGAGCACCTCTGACCCATTCCTGTTTTTACCGCGAAGCAGTTGTGTTTATATCGCTATGTTTCGGTTTGCAGGGTGAGATATGACAGTGAATTTACAGGGTGCAGAGGAATAACACTTGAGTCCTCAGGAATGGCAACGCATGGGGGGGTATCATGGGCGAAACAGTATACTCTGTTATTTCAATGATATATACTCATGTCTATAGGCGACGGTTACCACTTTCCATCAGGTGGGCCGTTAGCTTGTTTGCCATCCTATGTTGCATAAAAAAATGCTAGGTCTCTTATAATGAGTATAAAGAACAGTCATACTATATCCTCTATACGGTTACATAATGCAAATTGTTTTGTAATTACACTGAAATACATGCAATGGCCGTATGGTCTCGGTATAGAATAGTCCCTTCCTATCTTGTGGGTGTCGTAAGAGCCGACTAAGGGAGGACGAGTGACGAGTAGCAGCGTCCCTCTTAAGGCACCTTTAAAGCCTGACTGTAGTTGCTAATATGCCTGCCAAGCATGGCAACTACTGACGAACGTCTCCAATATTATGCTTGTGTTCAACAATGGACTAATATGATATATGATATGCCATGGCGAACAATATCCAATTTGGAGAAATCTCTAAAGATATAATGAAATCACGAATCCCGATTATTAGGACAGAATATGAAATTTTTCAGCTCTTGTACCCAGTGTGTTATTTCACCGGATATCGTTTTACATTTATTTTAAATAAACAAAGTAATAGTTAATTTATGTGCGTGTCTGTGAGCCTTTCAAAGGTTTTTACAATTTATTTTTAACCAACTTCAAAAAGAAGGAGGATCGCAGTTAGGTTGTATTTTATATGTTTAGTATCTCATAACTCCAGTTGTATACCGATTTGGAAAAATCTGTATATATTTAAAAGGATATACTTACAGATTAGTCTCATAAAAAAATTGCCAGAATTGAACTTTTTTTTATGGAACATAATTTAATTATATTTTTTTATACAACTTGGAATCGCAAACAAGTGGTAACTATCATCAAATGAAAATGGCATTGTGTCAGTTTCTTTTTTTATTCATATTTGTATTCATATATTCATATTTCTTTATTAACCAATGTAACAATTTTCGTCACACAATGGCAAGTCAATATTTACATTATAATTTTGAAATTAATAAAATAAATAATAACAATAATAATAACATTTAAATTATAAAATAAAAATAACATTACAAATTAATTATAGTTAACATTATAAATTAGTTACTACATGTCAATATAAAGGTAACTATATAACAATAATGATGATTTCAAGTTATAAAATTTTTATTGTCATACTTCTTACAGTTAAACCTAAATAAATAATAATGCTATAATTCAATATTGTACACAGGTACATACGAGCCTACAACGTGAGACATGAAAATTCGGACTCGTGTGACGGCGCCTGCGCTCACCAACACTTCTGCGCAATCACGTGTCTCGAGCATGTTGCATACAGACAATGTGTCGAAGCTGCAGCGAGCGCGCTCGCCGCCGCCGGCAAATCCGTTCCGCTTGTCGCACCGCTTATCACCGTACTTACTATACTAGCGTTCATAATAGTTCTCTTATAAATATATTTTTATAGTGTACTGTGCCGAAATTAAATATTTATAAACTTTAGGAAAGGACTCAATCGTTTAGTTACTAAGATCGAGTTTTGTATGGCTATTACGAATATTTAAAAATGTCTAGAATTTTTAGATAAAACTAAGGTATAATCATTAATGCTTCAAATTATTTAATAAAGAGGTGAAGCGTGCAACTACACATTAATGTTGGGGAACGCTAAAAGGCATTTGTGATATAGTTCGCTACCAAAATGTGGTAGAATTAAGAAAAAAAAAACTTCTGGTTTGTATAATAAATATGGAATTGTATAGTTTAAATCGATAAATTTGTATATAGAACCTTCGTAAAATCTCTTAACTATGTAATAGATGAAGGAGAAAGTAAAAAATATATTAGAACTAATTAAATTAGATACATAAAAATTGTTTGTAATTTCCGTCAGGTTTAGAATATATTTAATTGTGATCATAATAGGTACAGTCGAGTTCATAATATTTATTAATGTAAAGTATATTAAACATAATAAAATAAATATATTTTATAAAAATACACTGCGTTGGATACAACGGTAACTTACGACTGAAAATTGAGGAGATTTTTATTTAGATTGTATTTTCAACTGACTTCCACGGGAAAAGGCTTTTTCAATTCGATTATTATATTATTTTTGTGTGTTTGTTACCTCATAACTCTGTCAGTTGTAAACCTATCTCGAAAATTATTTTCTTTATTTAAAAGGGTATACTTACAGATTGGACCCATAGAAATTTTATCAAAATGGGTTCAGCACTTTAGTTTGCAATCTAAAGTAACAGGTTTTGCCACAACTGAAGTTGGCTTTTTTTTCTTTTATTGAACACAATATTATTTGTATATATGTACATATATTTTTTTAAAAGAGTATTTTGTTAGTGTAATTAAATATTTTTGTCAAAGTAAGTCGAAAAATGATAACATTTTGCGACTACGGAGTCGTTGGACGTGTGGATTATTGAAGCGTCGTGATGGGATGTTTTAAATTTTTTGTTACATTTTTTACTTGTTATCTTAGAAAATATGTTTGTCATTAGTAGAACACTCTTTTAAAAGAATATTAATATCATCCTATATATTTTAATAATAATATTTTTTTTTAACATAATAGTTTACAGTTGACACGTATTTGTGCTAATTTTGTTAAAATTGATTTTCTTTAATGGTAATTAAAAAATAAAGGCATCCACAGTGAGTTTTCTTAGAATACATATTTGTATTCTTAAATTTTGTATTAAAAAAAAGGTATAACGTTTAACTAATCATGCTAATACTAAACCACACTTTTATTGAAGAAAATGTGATTTTAACATAAGTTAGTGGTACGCATGTAAAATTTAAATTTATCATAATAAAATTACGTATTGCATTCGAAATTAGAAAGTTTTACTGTGTAAATAATTGTATGTAAATGAGGAACAATTAGACTGTAAGTTCTCATATCTTAATCGCTTGTTGTATTTTATTTTACACGCACATAATCGAATGAACATATTAGTTTACTTGTAATGAAAAAAAAAAAAATAGTCGAGAACAATGAATATCACTAATTACGTGCTAGCGACATTTAGATGGATGAATTTACATGTTTTTGCACGCGACTGTACTATAGGCAACCCTATTTGAATTCATATAAAAAGTTGAGTGTCCCCATATTATATTATGGCCTACGCAGACGAGGGACAAATTGTACACACACAATATTTTCCATTAGAAAAACGCTTCGTCTTCCCACATTTAAAACGAAAAACAATCATCAACTGTTTTTTTAGTTCAGAATGATACAAATATTTGTTGTGCAGGTAATGTACACGGCTTGCAAAGAGGAAATTGTTTTTTGTTGACGAAATGTCCGTCGTACGCGCAGGCCTTTAATCTGGATGTTTCAATTAATTTTTAATAAAGAACTGTATTCAAATTTATTGTTTTTATTACACACCCCTAAAATTCCTCATACTATTTTTATATTGAACTTAATTAATTAACTTAATTTGCCCAGTCAGTATCTACAACTGAGTCGCATGGCCGGAGCATATTAATTGACCAGGATAAAGGATTGCTCAATTCCTCGTACATTTCAAATTCTACGTGCATATAAAACTGCACGATATTTACCTGAGTCTATTTAAATTACTTCATTAAAAATATTTCATATTCAATCACGTTTATATGGATGAACGAATTTAAATGAAATTTGAAATATATCGTCATAGTCGTAGAATACTGACGACATCTCTGACAAAGATTACATATAAAGATCCGTCAGTATTCTACGACTATGACGATATATCTCTTATTGAGTCTGTTACAATTGACAATATAATAATGATACCCAAGTATTGTTGAAACCGTCACACGAATATTTTAAGTCGAAACATTTTTTTTTTTATTTTGTACTCCTATTAGGCATCAGCAGGCTGTATTATGGTGGGATCAATTATTAGTTTATATTATTATTATGTACTACCTAAATTATATATTAAAAAAAAGGTGACAGGTATTTGATTAGAATTATTTTGTTTAATTCCGCTACCATTAGTATGTGTGCAACTACCAACATTTCGTCATAGTCGTAGAATACTGATGGATCTGACAAATATTGCGTATAAAGATCCGTCAGTATTCTACGACTATGACGATTTGCCGATTGACTATCTATTATTATTAGTAAAAGTTGTACAAGCTTTTATATTAGTTATCCATCTCCGACCGTTATTTAGTCCACCCATATGTTGCGACACGTTTCACATTTAAACGAGGCATCTTTAGGTAAATTAATAGATCGCTTTGGCTAGTAATAGGTAGCCGTTCAGCGTCCAGACACAGTTATAATAACAGTCTGGGCGCTAAATGGTTAACACTAGACTCCGAACAACAATCCATTAATTTACCTTAAGATGCCCCGTTTAGAGGTGAAACACGTACCGTAAAATAAACCACCGCAGAATAACATCTAGTTCAGTAAAATAAAGTAAGATGGTCATAAGCTGAATCGGTGAATATTTGGCATGTTAGATTCAAAATTAAGTACTCCTCACATAGGAGTAGTAGACGATTGCTTATCTTTGATGATCACATCTGGGATTAAAACACAGCTACTATATTAAACATCTGGTAATTTAGTGGCCCTGGCGTAGAATACGCCACCCTTTCCTTTCCTGTAGGTGTCATAAGAGGCCACTAAAGGAGCTTACAGGTCGAGGGATGGGCAGCAGCATTCCTCTTAAAACATCACCAAAATCTAAATACGGTTGCTAATTTACCTACCAACTATGGCAACTACTGACCCCCCCCCCCCCCCCCTTATGGGAAAGGTCTAAGATATATATATATATATATATATATATATATATATATATATATATATATATATATATATATATATATGTGTGTGTATATATATATGATATATATATATATATATATATATATATATATATATATATATATATATATATATATATATATCTCAAAGCCAGGTAAATGTCTCCTCCGAGTCACACACTAAGTTACTAAAATCAAAAATGGACACAGAATCTGTGAAATTATAAATACGCCTACTATGATATCGTTTAATACACATTTCATTTCATCCAGCACGCCCAAATGAAATTTATGCGAATCACGTTAGTATTTCATTGATGGATGTACATATTTAATTTCGTCAGATAATACCACTTAGGAGAAACGCATACTAAATATTGATAAATGCAAGCGATTTATATTATTAAATAATATTTTTCACCGAATGAAAATGGAATGTTTTTTATTGGTATGCGCTAGCAAGGTACCGGTGAGTCATCACTCGCCGGTACTGACTGTTTTTATCGTCATCTATGATAACAGATTGTTCCGTTATGACGAATTTAACAAGAATTACCTACGATGGTGTCAAGGTGGAACTTCGTGAAAGTCAACCTGATGAGGGAGACTTTGGACAAAAGTCGATTGCTTGGGTACCTCTGCCCCATTCGTGTTTCAACCGTGAAGCAGTTGTATTTGCATGGCTGTGTTTCGATTTGAAGGATGGGATATGGCATGAATTTACTGGGTACAGAGGAATAACATCTGAGTCATCAGGAATGGCAACGCATGGGGGGTATCATGGGCGAAACAGTATACTTTGTTATGTCCATGATACTGCTCATGTCTATAGGCAACTGTTACCACTTTCCATCAGGTGGGCCGTCAGCTTGTTTATATTCTAAGTTGTATAAAAAAAAGGTATATTGTTAGCAAATGGGACGTTAGACCCAATTACTAACAATACCTTTTCAGTCAGTTGGCTTATCGTAATTAATTTATATTTTTTTTTATATTACGCAAAATGAGTATGTAACTTACCCGATAGTAAGTGACTACTGCCGTCCATGAGCATCCGCAATACTGGAGTAATTTCAAATATGCTGCCAGCGTTTAAAAAAGGAATATACTCGTTTATTGAAGGTTATGATTGGCGAGAACTCATCAATTTTTAATGGATGATAATGAAATGGTAATCTCGTGAGGAATAATAGGTGAGAATGAATTCAAGTTAGTTAGCCTCTTGCGACGAATTTACATTAATTAATCACGATGGTTCCCAGAGGGAACAACGTGGATATCGACTTGCCAGGATATATTGCTAGCAATGGGGATTAACGTTCCTATTACTAACAATTCACCTACCCCATAAGGATTAAGTCTGATCAGCAGGTCGATCGTGACAAATACATCTGTCTACAAGTTTGATATCGATATGAATATATAAGATCGTATTCTCTAAGCTTCGGTTAAGGTTTCGTGGTAGATCAACAAATTAGCTGTTAAATAACCGTCAAGTTATTACGTGCGATTGATCGTACGTGTGCGTTTGGCCTTATCGTTGAATAAGGCCACGTGTAATCGTCAACACGAGAAACGTGACCGCGCCGAATCTATACGGATTTGGGCTGCATTATGGAACAACATTGGAAATAATAAGCTATCAACCGTCCAACACGCTTCCCTGATTTCTTGTTGAATTATTATATTGTAATGGTAACGACACGTAGGGTTGGCAATGTCTTTAAAGTTTGTAAGTATGAATCTTTTAATTGGCTTCGAAAAAGAGGTTATAATGTTGTTTATGCATATATATCATTTTTCTGAATTTCCTATGAGAATTGAGTTATTTCTTTATTTTTTTTTTCTTGTTAAACAAGTTTACTTTCAAGACCCGCTCTTAAATGACAAATTTCAAAGTCAATTTTATTGATTAAAAAAGTTTAATCTTAACGATTCAGAATTAATTACGTTACTTTATAACGTACAAAAAAAAAAAAACAGATAAATGTTTCACCAATTTAGAAATCGTTTAAAAAAGGAAGGTTTGTTCAGCCCTGAGAATACAGGCTTAAAATACTTAACCTGTACAGCAACCCTAATGGAAACTCCCACAAAACGTTTCCATAACAAAGAAAGCGTAAAGGCCTCTTTTTGTATAACTCTTTAAGAGTGTTTATACCAAATATTAGCGACACAAAAGTTAATAATAAAAAAAATTGTATTTGTGAAATAATAGAGAAAGAAAAAGGAGAGAAGAAATTTAGTTTTTGTTTACTGTGAAAGCGAACAAAAAGACTTTCTTCTCTCCAACTTATACATATATTTTTCAACTATAAATCTTAATTAGGTATTTTAAAAAAGTGACAGTTTCTAAGTGACGATATTTTTTTTTCGGAAAAGAATTGTTTCTTGCTGGAAAGAAAGATCCAATAACATACAATTTGTAACTCAAAAAACAGCATTACAAGAGAACATTACGTATTTTGTAATTTATGTGACTAATTGCTTTGTAGTTCTGGCATAGAATAATCCACCACTTCCTTTTCCGTGGTTTTTAACAAACGGCTAAGGGAACTTAAGTCGCGGAATGAGCAGCACCCCTCTTAAAACATTGTCAAAAGCCTAACTGCGGTTGCCGATCAACTTGCCACTATTGGCAAAGCCTTTTTTATGATGGAAACTTATGTTCAGCATTGGACAGTTAACAGTTAATATAATAAAAAGTTTTATGTATCATCTAATTTTTTATTTTTACTTCCTTATATTTCTTTTTTATACAACTTAGAATGGCAAACAAGCTGACGGTATACCTGATAGAAAGTGGTACCCGTCGTCTATAGACATGTGCAGTATCATGGACATAACAGAGTATACTGTTTCGCCCATGATACCCCCCATGCGTTGCCATTCCTGAGGACTCAGATGTTATTTCTCTATACCCTGTGAATTCACGCCATATCCCACCCTTCAAACCGAAACACAGCCATGAAAACAAAACTGCTTCACGGTAGAAACACGATGACACGAATAGAGGTACCCAAGCAATCGACTTTTCTACAAAGTCTCCCTATTTTTTATGATATTCCTACTTAGATTATAATGGCAAACAAGTCAACTGTCTACTTCATGCCTTACAATAAATACTCCTCATACGTTGGCATTCCAATGGTTCCCTCATAGTTACAAATCTATCCAATTATTGTGTTATGCCTCCATATTTACCAGAGGGAGAGTTTGTACAAAAGTCGATTGCTTGAGTACCTCTGTCCCAATCGTGTTTCTACCGTGAAGCAGTTGTTTGCATGGCTGTGTTTCGGTTTGAATGGTGGGATATGGCGTGAATTTACAGGGTACAGAGGAATAACACCTGAGTCCTCAGGAATGGCAATGCATGGAGGGTATCATGGGCGAAACAGTATACTCTGTTATGTCCATGGTACTGCTCATGTCTATAGGCGACGGTTACCACTTTCCATCAGATGGGCCGTCAGTAAATTGATAAATGCCTTTTCATCATCATCATCATATCAGCCTTTAACTGCCCACTGTTGAACATAGGCCTTCCTTTACTGAGGAATTTCGCCAGTAGTTACCACGCTTGGCAACGTTTTT